ACGGGGGCTAAAAGATTCCTAAATATTGAGAAGGCTTCCCAGGGGAATAACTGTGGCTAGAAATGACGGATGACAAAGCAGGTCTGAGCAGTCAATAGAAACAAGGACTGGGAACCCCGGCTCCGCTGAAGTCTGTTGCAGAATCCCCTCCGCCTGCAAGAGCTTCGGGGTTTCACCCAGAGTGAGGGTGAGACGGTGAAATGTATTCGGCCATGCCTCGTTTTACCAGGGCAGAGGCCAGAATCGCTTCTTCCTGACCTGGCCCAGCTCGATCATGATAGCAGGGGAACGGGACAGGTGCAGAAAGAGGCAGGCGATTTGCTTTCCTACGCGTTCAGACGGATTTCAGCCTGGTTTGTGCCCTGGGAGTCGCACGATTTTAGCTAAACGTCTCATGCTATTACATGCCACGGCACTTTGACTTTTTCTTCCTGTGCCGGACGTTTATTTTCAACACCTCCCCCCCCCCCCCCGTTTTTATGAACACTCCCACCACTAGAATCGATGGATTTTTTTTAAAGTCTGGTATTTCCCCCCTGCACAATGTAGGGGTGGGGGAAATCACTGAAAACATTTTTTGGGGGGGGAGGTGTGGAAAAAATGTTAACCCCACTTTCAATCTCCGCCACCCCACTGTCTCGGAGTGCAAGAGGAAACCCGAAGAGCAGCGGTAAATAAACTAGCCCGGGCTGACTGAACCTCCAGGACTCACCCACACACCACCCGGGCTGCGTCTTGCACCCGAAGCAACCCAGCACCCACCCTGCCCCATCAAGAAGGCCTCGGAGAGAACAGATGGAGCCTGCGTCTTGCCTCGAATCCAGCAGAACCCATGGGTGAAATCTGGGGCCTCGGCCTCAGTGGATTCCAGGGCCAAGCCCAGTCCCAAGGGGGGGGAAGCAGTTGTGTGTGTAGCTAGCAACCAATCCACACAGAGACTCCCGCAGCCAGAGCATCTGTTTATAGATCTCCAGAGGGGTCCCACGCAGGGCCCCAAGCCCGCTGAAGCCAGCGGGAACATTCCCATTGATCTCAACGGGCCTTGGGTCAAGTCCATGGAGCAGTGATCCAAGCTGGAGGTCACCAGGGCCTGGCCAGCGGTGGCGAGGCCCCCCTCAGGCATGGCCAGGGTTATGGGCTGTCCTATCAGATTTAAAATATAAACCCACTGAGATGCCAGTAGCAGTGGATTGTAACGCTTCCCACCCAGCTGGTAGACAGGCCAAGGCTGCCCTTCCCCGGGAAATCGTTAGAACATGGGATCGGCTTATGCCATCTCTGCTACAGAAAAGTCACTCTAAATACACTGGGTGTGGTCAGCACGGTCTTTACCTTCTTTTTCCTTCCCCCAGCTATTGGCCTGATCACCCGGAGTCTCACTGTAGAGGGCCATTGGGAGAGAGAGAAACACCATAACTTTTTTTTTTTAAAAAAACACACTTCTAAAAAGGCCCGAACCTAATGTTTTCTGCAAATCAAGATGTGCCAACTCTAGGGGCAGATCTTTCCCCCTATGGTTTGGGCCATATCAGAGTCTGAAGCTGTGCCCGCCCCAGAATTCACAGGGCAGTGGGTCGGTGCAATATTTTAGCGGGGATGCCACCCCTGGACACAAAGGGAGGTCTTTGTATGGGTGGTTAGTTTGCAAGTGGTACAAATGGGGGCTATTTGAAAGACCCAAATAGGGGCAATAGCTCAGTGGTTTGAGCATTGGCCTGCTAAACCCAGGGTTGTGAGTTCAATCCTGGAGGGGGCCATTTAGGGATGGGGCAAAAATTGGGGATTGGTCCTGCTTTGAGCAGGGGGTTGGACTAGATGACCTCCTGAGGTCCCTTCCAACGCTGATGTTCTATGAAACTCAGAGTTTTGATAGCCGAGGGATTGCGGCTGGTGAAGAGACTATGAAGTGCCCTCTCCTCCAGGCAATTTAGTCCACAGATTATTGCAAGGTTGCAGGAATTAGATCTATGGATATAATGCCCGCATGCATGGGGTCTCTCTCTCACGCACACACCAGAGAGAGAGAGAGAGAGAGTCAGGATTTACCTTCCGAGGTAATACTCCCATGGACCTCAATGGGATTAAGAGCAGGGCCCAAAAGTTCTGGCTACAAATAGTTTCCTCTCTACTCAACCAAGCGGAAGGGTATTTGGATGGGGTGTGCGTTAGGAACAAGGCAGGTTTGTGCGTGTGCCACTAAGGAAAAGCATCTCAGCACGTCTGTCGTGAATTATACTTTATAAAATAAAGAGCAAACGTTCTCCCTTCTTAGACTCAATCAATCAATCAGGCCCTCCTGTCTCTGATGAATCGGCTGTGGCGCATAGCTGATTGGGGTAATTTGGTTAAGGTTCCTAACGAGGAGGCGAGATCCTGCCCCATTTGGAAGGTGGTTTAAAGCTGTCCTACCCACGATCTTCTCTCTGTTTGGGAAAAAAGGTTTGGAGTTTGTGTTCCGGTGGCAACAGTCCGATGATGGATGTGTGTGAGGGACCAATTCTCTGTGTGAGAGAGACACAATAATTGCACCGGTAGTGAGAGGGGGGTACTGCGTGTAGTTTTACCCGGCCTTGGATCAAAAGGGTCTCACTTTACGCCCTGGCGATTTCATCCCAATAGACATCCCGAGCCCGGGGGCGAGACTGTAAACTGGCTGATTTGTTCTATTCGCTGGAAAAGCAAATTCAATTTCCCTTGGCCAAGCGGGACCGTCACACAGGCAAGACTCAACTCACAGCAAAAACTGGCCCCAGGAGAAGCCAGGCTCTGCAACCCCTTCTCCGGAGCTGCGGAGATCCCAGCCTCTGGGAGGGGACAGCTTGCTTCTAAAGGGGATCGCAAGTGGATCCCTTGGAGTGTGGAGATCCCCAGGTTTGGGACGGCTAGGTTAATAACAGGCGCTCCGTGGGCAAACACGTCCCGTTCAGTTACAATGACACCCCTCACGGAGATCGCTGTCAATGAACAGGCGCTGGGGTAGGAGGCAGACGGCCCGGGACTAGCCGTCTGCGGAGACGCTTCGGGAAATGCAACCCCGGCTGGCTGCCTGGGCCCTTTTCCTGGCTCAAGCGAAGTCGGTGACTGTTGAGCCATATCCGTCGGGTTGCCCCGCGAGCAGGTAGGGAGCAGCCCCCGGACAGAATGGCCTTAAAAATGCCCGGGGAACCGCCGGCGGATGCCTCTGGCTGGCTGCTGTGAGATTAGCCCGTTGGAGCGACCTTTGTGTGGGCGCAGAGAAACAGCCCTCGACCCAAACCGGGGAAAGGACCGATCGTTTTTAACTGCTTACACACGTGCGTTCAATTGCAAAAGGTCGGCCTTCAGACCTGCCTCTCCCACCGCTCCCTGTGGGTGCGCTTCCAGGCTCTGCACAAGTCGCGTCCAAGCGATGCCCATCGCCAGCGCTAGGCCAGTGGGTTTAGCTACCTACCCCTCTTCGGTTTCAGAGCAGCAGCCGTGTCAGTCTGTATTCGCAAACAGAAGAGGAGGACTTGTGGCACCTTAGAGACTAACTCATTTATTTGAGCAGAAGCTTTCGGGATAGTGGGCTGTGGCTCATGAAAGCTCATGCTCAAATAAATGTGTTGGTCTCTAAGGTGCCACAAGTCCTCCTTTCCTCTTCTTTGAGTTATCCGCAGAGGTTGCCACATATGACTGATTTACTCAAATCAAGGGAGCATTGGTTTGGGGTCATTCTTCATTTATCCAGTCTGATGCAACCTTTCTATTACCCCCACTCCGCAGGGCCCGAGCTGGGAGCACCGGGGTAATGTTCGGTGTGTAAAGAATCGGATTGATAATTTAGTTACAGAAGGGACAGGCGAGTCACTTCTAAAGTAAATCGTGGGTGCCCGAGATAAACATTTTACATATAATATAAAACGATGTATTTATATTTATACAAACAACACAGGATATTATATATCCTCTGTAAATCCTTTCTCGTAGAGTATTATGTATTTAGATTTCCACGAACAAATATATCCATCTATCCATCTCCTTTGTAAATCTTCCGCCTAATCTTGTATTATGTATTTCGATTTCTACAAATAGCACGGTGTATATAGATACATCTCCTTGGTAAACCCTCTGTGGACTATTTTGTTATGTATTTAGATTTCTACAGACAACAGATTTTTATATGAAAATCTAAATACCGAATACAATATTAGAGAACGGATCTATACAGGGACAGCGATCCAGATATGAGATCCCTCACTTTTTCATATTTCTGCCCCCTCCACTCCTCAGACTTTGGAAAAAGAAAGGAGCCCCCCCCCTTCTTCTCCCCCAGCCATTGCAACTCCAGCGCCGATTAAGCTTTTACCTTCTTTGTCTGGGCACGAAGGGCTTTGCACAATGGCAGCAAAATACCTGCAGCTTTCCACGGGGCGGCGGAAAGGCACTCGTGTCTGTTACACTCTCCCAGGGCTGGATGGGAGGAACGAGAAATACACCGGGGGGAGGGTGGGGGCGTGTGGATGTTTAGAGAAAACGTGAGCTAGTCAATTGCACAAATAAACAACCGGCAGTTGCAAGCTGCCTCCTTTGCACTGTAGCTGGGGTGACTTGACTTTATAAGGCTCTGGCTAGCCTGGGGTTTTTTGGGCTCTGAAAGAAACTCCTTTTCTCCCCTCTCTCTCTCTCTCTCGCTCTTCCCTGACTGTCATTCATTCAGCTGCTCTCAGGATCCAGCCAATGGAGACCCAGGGCCTAGAAGTATCAGGCCTTCTGGTAACATGATTGATGCCCTCGCAGCCGAGCCAGAGTCCAGACGCTCGCACACTCTCACCCATTCTCTCCCAAATCTCCGCTCTTGCTTTTTTCCAGCCCTTCCTTCCCCACTTCCAGCCTCCTTGGAGGCTTTGGGGCGAAGCGAAGCGAGACCGGAGCGGCGCGCGGTGTAAATCTCTTCCCTGATCCGGCACTGGCCTGGAGCAGGGTGGTGGTGGGCGGACGACCCACCTTTTGTGTTGTTTAGGGGGATTACCAGCGGCAGCATGGATCACATAGGGGCTCACCACCTCCACCAGAGCCACGCCGAGCCCATCAGCTTTGGAATCGACCAGATCCTCAACAACCCGGACCAAGGCAGCTGCATGATCTCCGGCTCCCGGCTGCAGGACTCCTCCGACTACGGCTTGAGCTGCATCGTGAGCAGCGCCTACAACACCATGACCGGCAGCTACGGGGCGAGCGGCGGCTCGGCCGGGGCTTACCCGGGCGCCTGCAGCATGGCTTCCCTGCCGGGCTCCTACAACGTCAACATGGGGGTGGCCATGAACGGGAACGGCCTGAACTCGGCGGGGGGCGTGATCCGGGTGCCGGCGCACAGGCCGCTGGCTGGCGGCGGGCACCAGCCCCTCTCCACCGGGATGCCCACCGTGCCCTCGGTGAACGCCATGAACAACCTCACGGGACTCACTTTCCCCTGGATGGAGAGCAACAGGCGCTACACGAAAGACCGGTTCACAGGTGAGTCCCGTCCCCTGGCTTCCAGAGCGGGGCAGCCCGGCTCGCCTGCCTCCCTGTCGGGATCACCGCCGCCGCTATGCCGGGCCCACCTGGGGGGCTCCCTCCCCGCTGCACCAGACAGCCCTGTCCCCTGGCCTCCCCCTCGCTGCCCTTTCCAGGCGGCCGGGATTGGCCGGGCGCGCCGGCAAGGGCGTGATCCATTGATTCCAGGGTGATCACCAAGACCCCGGCCCCGCTCTCCAGGCTCCGAGCAATGGGCACAGAGAAGCAAATCCCTGCGTAGAATTAGTCCCCGGCCAGCCACTGAGGCAGAGAGTAATGAGGCCGACGAGGAAAGAAAGAATCCTACCAAAGGATGCAGCACAATTAGCGATCCGGGGGTGAATCCACCTGAATGGGATTATTTATTAATTACCGGGGGGTTGGGACGATTCCCCAAGTGCATTTTGGCTATTGGGTGCAAAGATAGCCAAGGGACAGCAGGATTTATAAATGAATCAGTCAGTACAGATACGTTTTGACTAAGAAAGCACAGTTAGGCTCTAATAATAACAACAATAAATTCACAGTGGGGGGGGGGGTCACATTTAAACCCTTTAAACTCACCCCGAAAATAGTTGAAAAAGTTTTTCAGGCTCAGATTTTTCAGGGGGGTTTAGCTCAGAAAAGAATAGATTATTTGTTTATCCCTAACTTCTCATGGAAAGAGAAGGCTGCTCACGGATTTATTTTTAAAGTGAGGGTTTAATGTCGGCACATTATTGCGGGAGGGATAGTCCAGTTGTTGGATCTAGTAACAGGCAGGCACCGAGAGGGAACTGGAGTTCTCTCATTTCGTTATGGCCAGGCCCCAAAAGGAATTTCATGTTTCTATGATTTTTAACAAGTTTTTGTCGTAGTTTTTCTTCAGGGAAGATTACGGATCAATGTAAATTTCCTCTGCGAAACTGTGTTTTTGCAGTTCCCAAGCGAGCCTAATGCAGAATATAATAATGAACAGACAAGGCGGCTTCCTCCCACAGGGCCGAGCAAAACATTTAAGTGCTGCTCTTTCGCTTCATTTCTGGGGTCAGTTCTCCACCATTGCCCGCACCCCCAGACCCGAAGCAGTGTGGAGTGGGCGGCTGGATGGCTGTTTGGGTGTGAACTGGGAAACGAACCCAACACCAGAATGAGTGGGTTGAAAAGGCAGAAAAATTGTAAAATGGGGAGAATCCGTCCCCTTTAAAGCAGCTCCTGGTTAATTTACACTTTCCAGTGTGACCAACTGGGATTATTTTTAAATCTAATTTTGATATGATATCAATTTACTCATATAATTAAAAATACAACCGAATGAAGTCTTTATCTACTTCCCAGGGGGATAAGGCTCAATTTAATCATTGTTTATAGAGCGCGTTGAGATCCCGGGATGAAAGGCGTCGTTAGAATTGCCGAATATTTCAGCTCTCTTACTATTTACACAGGCAAAACTGTCCTGGTCACAAGTGGGGCTTTCCCCTGAGTGGGTCCCGGGGAACAGAGCCCATAATAGAAGTGCGAGAGGAGGAGAATTAGGCTGGTTTAGGACAGATGACGGCACCTAGAAATGTCATTGTAGAAACACTGCACAAAAGGCTTCCCAGAGACAACATCGGGTGGTATTATCCGTTGTTATTACTGCCGAGTATTAAACTCGGCAATTGGATGGGTTTCAAGACGGTAAATGTCTACCTGTTGGAGACAGGGACAGGTCATTCCATCTGGGAGGTATTGTACCTTTTGCCCTGGAGTAACTAACTCTTTGCCATGTGCTCTGGCCGCTAGATAGGAAGTTGTTGCGGCATCCATTTCACAGTAGTAATGGGGGCGGGGGGGGGGGGGATTAAATGCATGATAGATCCTAGTTAGGCAACTATCACAAAAGGCCGTTTTGCCTGAAATTGACAGCAAATGTCCCCCTGTCATCTGAGTTTCGTCTGCTCTGTGGAAGGAAGGTACTGCCTAGCTTCCGGACCGACTAGGTGCTCTAAAAGATTTAGGGGCCTATATTTTTCCATTATCTGCCAGCCTGATTATATATGTGTCGGAACAGGGAGGAGGGCAGACGCTTCTCTGCGCTGTCCGGAAGAGGGACTGTCAAAATGGGAGCTTAGTTACAATAGCAAGCGAGAGGGATGAGAGGCCCTGCAGATAAGGAGAGGAAGATATGCGTAGACAGAAGACGGTTTAGATCGCCCTAATAACAGTGTTTTCCTATCTTCTCCGCTGAATGGGCGACGCCCTTGTACCTCACTTCAGTGCATCCGGCCTAGAGAGGTTGTTCGACAACTAATAAAGACAGATACAATTTAATAAACAGCCACGCTACTTCCGGGAGCCTTTTCTGTATTTATGAAGCTCTCATCGAAATTATTTCGACCCACCCCAGCGATTCCTGCGTAGAGTGAGAAAGGGGGAAAGTAAACACGCGTTTGTGTTCCGTGGAAGTTGGTGCAGGATCAGATTTTAAACTTAGTTCTACATCAGGACGAGGTAGGATATTCGTGTTTAAAGAGAATTCTGTGGGTAAGGTCCTTCCTAATTCAGGGGAAATAGATGATCAGTTATGACAGAAACTTTATTAATGGGATTAAACAGCGCGACCAAAAGGAGAGATATAGATATATATAGATATAAAACCCCAGACCAAAAAAAATCACCTTCATATACACACCAGGGACTAAAACAAATCTGAACTGTGGAAATCTGTCAATATCAGAGAGATGATTCATTCCACAAAGTATCGGGCCCCCCGCATCCGCTTTATTAACCCAATAGCCCGTGTTTGTGTTAAATGGATTTGTCACATTCAGAGCAATCCAGGAACTTTCTCGGGGGCGGGTAGTTTCCCTCTTTACATGAAATAAACAGACGCCCCGAGCTGTATTTTGAACAGGCGCCTGACACCGACTTCGTCCAAAGGCGGCTCTCTGAGCGCCTGGACTGACCGAGAAAATCAAATTCCCTAGCCTGAGAAATGGCCAAGGCTCCCCTTTGCGATGACAGGCAGACCGTGCCCCCGGAAATGCCGCCGGCTGGGCACCCCTGGGTGCGGCAGCGAATTAATCCCTGTCCATCCCCCCCGCCCTGGTTAGCAGGCAGCGGGACAGCCGGGGGTGCATCACGGGGGCGCCTGTTTTCGCGCTTTGGCCGGGGGAAAGGGCAGTTTGCTGCCAATAACAGACACGCGTTCAGACAAATCTCGGTAGTTAGCACAGGGGACTCGGCGCCGATCCGGCTCCCACGAAGTCACTGCAGGACGTGGGGCCTTTCCTGCTCTTCCAGCAGCACCAGGCATCTTCCCACCGCGCATTACTAACATCTGCCGCTCCTGGTCCTTTCTACACCCCCAGCCCCAGAGGGAGGGTTCGGGGCTGAGGGATGTTGGTGTCTCAGAGGGCCCGGGCCGAGAGGGGGTTTATTGCGGGGGAAGGGTAGGCCTGGGGCGGGCGGGGGCGGGGGTGCTTTGCAGCATGCTATTAGCCGCTATAGCTCGCCCAGGACAGCATGGGCTCTGGTAACAGCCCCCCCTCCCCCTCGGCCCTGCTTCCCAGGCCAGGCTCTGCCCACTCCCCTCGCAATCTCTCTCTGTGTCTGTCTCTGCTATTGCTCGTGGACCCCTCCTGATATTTTGCTGCTTGCTTCTTTGCCCCCCCCCCCACCCGCCCGCCCCGTCTCCCACCCCAGTGGCCCTCTCACCCTTCACTGTAACACGCCGTATAGGTCACCCCTACCAGAACCGGACGCCGCCCAAGAAAAAGAAACCCAGGACGTCTTTCACCCGGCTGCAGATCTGCGAGCTGGAGAAGCGCTTCCACCGGCAGAAGTACCTGGCCTCGGCCGAGCGGGCAGCCCTGGCCAAGGCCCTCAAGATGACAGATGCCCAGGTGAAAACCTGGTTCCAGAACAGGAGGACAAAATGGAGGTCAGAAGCGAATCCCGCCCCTGGGGGTGTATTTGGTCTGGTGGGTGACTGTCTCTGTTGTCTTTGCGCACTGTCCGGGGTTGGCTGCCTTGGTGGCGCGCCCCTCTGGGCTTCGCCCGGCGTGTGTCGCGTTACTGCGCGGGCGGCCCTCGGGGCTGTTACCCGGGTGCTGAGCTACGGGGTGACAGAAGTTTGCCCCCGCGGGGTGTGGGTTTGTGTCTCTCCTCGCACGCGGCTGCCCTTTAGAGGGTTTCCGAGTCGGAGCTTTGCCCCTTTGAAAGACAGGCCCCGGCCCGCGCTAAGCTGAAAACCATCTCGGTTCTGTTCAGCAAAGCCGGGTGCGCTTAGCCGGGGCGGGGGGCTGTGGGCGGTCGATGCATTGGTCCGGTTGAGATGAGCGCTGATGGGGGGGATCCGCACACGCGGCGCGGTCCCTTCAGACCCCACAGCCGGAGAGAGAGGTCTACGCTTGGGTGAACTGGTCAGCGCGGATAACTCCGGAATCAGCGAGCTGGCCAAGCGCCGCAGCAGAAGTGAAGTGCAGTGGGGAGGCAGGACACAGGAAAGAGCGCGCCGGCCTGGCATTGCGTGTGACTCCGCTGGGATCCGGCCAAGTGGAGGAACGGGGTTCAGGAAGGGTCCAGAGGGGCAGCCCTGTTAGTCTGTGTCAGCAAAACCAAGGAGGAGTCCTTGGGGCACCTTCGAGGCTAACAGATTTGTTTGGGCATAAGCTTAAATGTGTTCGTCTATAAGGTGCCCCGAGGACTCCTCCTTGGTTTTGGTTTTGGTTCAGGAAGGTGTTTCAGACCCCAGTTTTTTCTCTCTTTGGCGGGATCCTTTTGGTTCAGTGCTTTAAAAAGTACATAAGGTATTAAATGGAGGAGACTGGTGTCCCCAAACACCAGCCGTTCTCTCCATCTGAACCGGTGAGAAAAACACGCCCCTTCCCAGATATATTCATGGCCGGCCAACAATCAGTGACAGTGTTTGGGACCGGTGGATTTCTGATGGACTCTCTCTACTCCCCCCAGAGCTAAGGCAATTTATACCAGCTCCGGATCTTCCCCCGAGTCCTTCCCAGGGTAACAGTTCTTTCCCCGGTGTCTTTAAACTGGCCTGGTAGTTTTATACAGAGAACAAGAAGGGCCAGTAATAACGGAAAACCATTTCCGGAGGAGAAAAATCCGAACGAAATTATGTTTCATTTTTTTAAAAAAACGAGGCTACCCAGTGGGGAGGCAATTTTTACTGGGAAAAGGCATCTTCGGGGTGTATTCTGGGGAGTTGTAAGTACTTGGGAGGAGAAGGAAAGGTACAAACTCGAGCATGTCATTTTGACTCTATGGCCCTTGGGGGTGTTTCTTTTGTTGTATTTTGTCCGTGATTTGTACTGACCAAAAAGCGGGTGGGTGCCTACGTGGATCTGTAATGATAAATGCAGCGTTTTGTGAATACATGAGGCCCGGGTCAAGAGGCATAAGAGGGAACCCTGTTTTCCTGGGCCATGTGGCAGTAGCCTAGGATGGCCTCGCCTCAGGGACGCTTTCCAGAGTAGCTAGAGGGGGTGAATGTGGCCATAAGCCATCCCCCCTGTGTCATGACGGTATGAACTGAGCTATTCATTTTCACACCAGCAACCAGAAAATTTAGATTAGTAATACGGGACTGTGGATTTCAGTACCGTGCCCTAAAAAGACAGCAATATGAGCTGATATTTATTTGAACAGCCTCAGCAGTCCTGAAAGTGCAGGGGAAATGAACTGCTGTAGATTTGGAAGCCTTTGAAGTGATTGGCTATGCTAAAAGCGAGGGATTTTAACTTTGAAAAAATCCCGTTGGGGTTTTGTAGTTACACAAAGGACGTTTAAGAAATGAAACCCGTCTTGTTTTCTTTACTTACCCTCCCATGCACGGTACCAGCCAAGAAAGGGTGTGACAATAACCATTGTTCAAAAGGAAGTTTATATATATATATGTATATAATGGTTTGAAATCTCTATCCTGAAGTTCTGAATTATTATTGACTTGAGTTTTAAAGGACTAGAGAGTTATTTTCTCAAGTCCTCCGCAAAACAAAATATACTGTCTTCTTGGTTTTTTTTAAATCATCTTGTGTACATTGGATAAAGCTATTTATAATCCACAATAGATCAGCTCTTATTTAGAAAAGATTGATCTCAATTTGCTTCTAAAAATCCTTCATGCACAGTAGCATTACGCGGTTAAAAATCCATTTCCCCTTCCTTACTATAAGTAAGATTTCTGTTTGCATTAATGGGGAAAATGCCACAGACAGATAGAGGTGAGTTCTCGGGTAAAAATAGACGAATACAGGCGATTGTATATAATATTTAGCGCGAGAATTGCACACACCAGCCTTTGCTAGGATGTGCCAAAAGGAATTGGAAGAGAGATGTTTCAATAAATACACGAGGTTTAATGGAAGCTCTTTGAGTATGAAATAAGTCTCCCTGTGTTCCGAGCTCAATGAGTCTAGAGTCAATTATTGTATGTTGTCAACTCCAGGAGTTAGAATCGAAGTTGGTAGATAATGTAATTGCCTTCAATGGCTCTCACACAAACAGGCAGCTGGAGAGTGATGTATTCATTGCAGAGGAAGAGTTTTTGCGGCCCTAGAAGGGAAACAGGAAAGAAGTGAAATTTTAAAAAGTTAACTACAGACTAACATTCTTTGATCATTTGAAGCAAACAATAAATGTATATATCACAAGTCACCATGGCCTTAGCGCTCTAATTTAACTGCCAGAGAGTCCTAAACCGCATGTCTACAAGTTATACAATGGGAAGCTATTTAATAGGGGTGGGAATCCGAAAGGGGACAATCGCCGGAGTTTTGTGTACACGGGCAGTTGTTGCAAACAACCTGCAATTGCCTTAATAATACTTAATTTTAACCCCAGAACCTCCTGCTGGGGACAGTGCAACGAACGGTGAAGTCAGCGACAAGACAGACTTTGAAATCTGGGCCAGTCCTTTCGCGGTGGGACCTGGCAGGGCCGGGAAGGGGCTCTAGGGGAATGAGATCGATACTCGGTCGGAAGGAAGTCAAAAATCGCAGCAACTGCGCGATTTGCCAGAGCTTCAGGGAACAGGGACCAAATCACTTTCACCGAGTCCTGTTCGGTCACGTTCAGACCTGGGCCATTGAAATCAATGGGGAAAGCGTGCGGTGAGTAGAAGGGGACCTGGATCGGGGCCATACAGTGGTATAGGGTCCGAGTCTTAAATCTTCACACGGGTAAAAATCCCATTAAATGATCGCTCCCGTGTCTTTTACTACGTTAGGTGCCGATCCTGAAAAACTCCCATCGGAGCAGGATAGGGCCGGGCCCCGGGCTAGACACTTCATATTCGTGCTGGGGGGAAGGTCTTCCGTAATTTACAAATTTGCAATTAAGGCAATGGGCTGCATTTAATAATTATTACTAATATATTGCCCTTCCGTTGCAATATTTAAATAAATTGCCTGGATCCTGGTGTTTTTGCACCGTGGGGTATTTATTTCTCTCTTGGTTTGAAACGTGACTTATTTATTTATTTGTTTTGCTGCGAACTGTGTTAACTGAGAATAACGTACCAGCGTGAAATTAATAATCGGTTACCACTAATTATAAAGGAGACGGCGTTACATTTCTCGATGAAGTCAAAACAGTATTAAATATGCATTAAGAGTAAAATTGCTGTGGAAGGAAAACTCGTACATTATTTATGAAATTCTTTCCTCGTCTCTTATTCAGAAGATAATTGGCTGCATACGCTGAATTTTGTCCTGCTTTAACGCGGCACTTTCTGGTGGTGGTGGCTGTCTTGAAGTCGGAGAAGAAGTTTACAGGGCTGTCTCCGATCCCATGAAGCTACACCTGACAGTTGTCAAGAAATTAATGCCATCCAAAGCTATTTTACACCGTGTCTTTAATAAAAACCGTGCCTCGGAAGTGCTTTTACCGAATGAAATAACACGGTGACTCGGCTACATAATAAATAATGCCTGGTAAATCAAGCGGCGTGGGTCAGGGAGGAAAGAGAGGAGATCAGATACAAAAATGTATATTTCATGCTCTTTGTAGATGTGAAAGATACATGCAGTGGCTCTTGTCAATAACATGCCACTGTATTTGAGCTGAGAATCAACTTGGTGTCCCTGAGCTTTCTACAGCCGGCAGGACTCCAGTTTCCCACAGATAACCCAGCACGTCTCCTTTTCCCCAGCCCTAGTGGGTTATGAACTGAAACCTTTCAGGGCAGCGATAGCAAAAGGAAACCCAAACAAACAATAGTTTCATTAGAAATTGATTTTACAGCAATGCATTACAAAGTGTGAAGGATCAGTGCAGAGCCAGGAAAGTGACAGATAAGGCCATAAATCTGCTAATTACCACCAGAGAAGCACAGAAATAGCAGAGAGGGAAGGAATTTTTGTTGGCTGATTTTGGACACAGGGTTGATAGGCAGAGGAAATGCCTCTGCTTTTCATACCCGGATACCCCGCAAACAGAGCCTTGCTGTACCTCAGAGGGAAAACACAAAGGCCTAATATGCCAGGAAAACTTAAGCTGGGTGGCGCATGCATTCCCGGGGTCTTTGATTCATTCAGATATAATGCTTTCCATGCTGGATACTCCAAAGGGGGGAGACAGCACCATGGAACCAAGCTGCACAATGGGGTGAGAACTAGTCCGAGTTCCCATTTGACTCAGTGAACTTCCAGCTGTCCTGTTTGATTTTCTAGGGCTGGCTAGGCCCCCGGGGGAACATAGTGAAAAGTAGCTGGAAGGACAGTGAGTTGAGCCCAGCCACAGACACTGTAACCTGAGATCCACAGTAGGCCACATGGTTTCCAGGAGAGAGAAGACCAACCCTGGTGTTCCACTCTCTACAGTGTATACAGCTTGAGGGATGAACCAGAACTTTCTTCCTGGTTCTATCCTGAGAGCCTCACCTACCGAAGCGAATGGGGTTTTGCCTGAGAAAGGAGCGCAGGTTTTGGCCAAAGTTATTTCAAGGGGCCTAACTGGGCACCAAGGAAAGGGGCTGCGTGTGCGCCTGCCGTGGGGAGTGCTGTGCCACAAGGGATCTCCCCGGAGACCAAAGGGATTGGTCACTTCCCACAAAGCTGTGGACAATGGAGCTCAGACACTGGGCGAGTGGAGGAAATCTGCCTTTCCTTCGGACCTCTCTGGAATAATTTCCCAAGATCCCTGGCTGCAGTCATTTGCAGTAGGCTGGGGACCATCCTGGAGAACAGGGAACAATCCTGCATTGGCCAGGGGAATGGGGTGGGGGGGAGGGGGAGATTTGACTTAGTTAGGTCTCTTCCAGCTCAGTCTTCTCTGCTCCTATGGACAGTCCGTATCTTCCTCTATGAGAACATGTCCTGCACCCGTGGCCACAAAGGAAGCTTTGGATTTTGTGTGGTACTTTCCCTTTTCTTAAGGAGGGTAATGGAAAGACAGTGTGGTCCAGTGGCTAGTGCCCTGGGCTGGGACTCAGGAGACATGGGTACTATTCCCTGCTTTGTGGCCTTCCACAGGTCTCTCACTGTGTGTCTGTACAGGGCCCAGCACAGTGAGGCCGTGACCTTGGTAGGGCAGCTCTATCATGACATAAATCATTCATGATTATTGTTTTCTCCCAGACGACAAACTGCAGAAGAGAGGGAGGCCGAGAGACAGCAAGCCAACCGCATCCTCATGCAGCTCCAGCAGGAGGCCTTCCAGAAAAGCATCAATCAGCCCCTCCAGGCAGACCCCATCTGTGTCCACAACTCTTCCCTCTTCGCCCTCCAGAACCTCCAGCCTTGGTCTGATGACTCGTCCAAGATCACCAGCGTCACCTCCGTTGCCTCTGCTTGCGAATAGAGCCCACAATCCAGTGGTCCCCCCACGCACACTGTGTTACGAGCCACCCAAGCTTCAGCACAGTTGGAAGCATCCTTCTTCCCAACAGGAAACTACCCCTATACACTGTCACCCAAGAGCCCCACACTTCCAATGTGCCGAGACAGCAAATATCCTCTTGGCAGGAAGCAGGGGAGGGGGGGAAAAATAAAGTCACCTGCGGGATTATTCAGATAAAAGTGGCATTTCCCTTTTTGTCTTTTGAAAGTCTCCATTACGGACAATGAACAACAAGGAGCTCCCTTAATTATTCCCAGAAAGTAAAGATATGTTAGCCCCATGTCATCCTCTCAGAATCCATGGAGGAAATCTTCCCTGGATTCTGTCCGCAGCCAGTGCAGGCCTTTGGTTTCTTTGTATATGTTTTTTTAGACTGGTCATTTAAAATGAAATAATTCCCCCTTCCTTGAAATGGAGCTTTGACGTTTCTTTAACAAACCCCCTCGCCTCCACCTGGGTCATTGGCGCAAAAGAAATGCACAGACTGGATTCAACAAATGGACAAAACAGCCCAGCTTTAGTCTTTTGCCTGGTGATTTCCACGTGCAGGGGAAGTGAATTCCTTGGATTTCACCTAGGAATGTCTCTTCCTCCTTTTAATTATTATATTTTTCCAGTGGGGGAATAAGAGAGGAAACTGACGGACCTTTGAAGATAGTAAGCACCATATTGCAAATAATTGTATGAAGATTCCAAACTGTTTCCCTGGATACTACATACTCTGCATTGATCAACTTATATTTTAATAACTCTTGAAACATCTGTGGCATTCTGCAGAGACAATGCAGTTTCATTCAGTGGATTATTTTGGTATTATTTACAAATGTTGTTCAATATTTTCTTTTACTTCTTTTGCTCTAGATGTCAGCTTAAGTTGGGGGGAAATCTTTCACTTTCAGCTGTTTCTCTCATTTCTTTAATTGTATTGAGGGAAGGAGACATGCTTAAGTCAAGCACTTCTTATAGCAAACTCCAGGAATATATATATAGATATATATACACAGTATATATTTTTCAGTTACTTATAATCTAAAACAGCACTGCCAATTTAAGCAGCTGGTACAAACAATCAATCAAAAATATTTTCAGTGAGATTTTTAAAGGCATTTGTTTGTTTGTTTTAAGTTATGCACTTCTAAGGTGTTTCATGTGTATTCATTTTATAAAGTGCTTGTGTAATTTATGTGGATATAAAAGAATAATAAAAAAAAAAGTCCAGGATACTGGATAAATCAGCTAAGGCTTTGCTCTTGTTTTTGTACTGAGTTCCAAGAGGGAATATTACACCAGAAGTCACGTGGCAACTGTCTTCAAAATTAAGGTTGAGGTGTAAATGGAATTAACATTGCCCTTCTATTTATGTAGAATCTTCTTGGCTCCAGCACCTAGGGGGTTAGGTAATACATTTTACCCCAGATCCTGCTAACATTTTTAGGTATAAAACCAGCAAAGCACTTAGCAGCTGCTTAACTTTAAGCACTTCATTGGGACTGCTTATGTGGTTAAATTAAGCAGATGCTAAGGACTTTAGTCTGGAGAAGAGAAGACTGAGAGGGGACATGATCACAGTTTTCAAGTACATAAAATGTTGTTACAAGGAGCAGGGAGAAAAATTGTTCTCGTTAACCGCTGAGGCTAGGACGAGAAGCAATGGGCTTAAATTGCAGCAAGGGTGGCTTAGATTGGACAGTAGGAAAAACTTCCTAATGGTCAGGGTGGTTAAGCACTGGAATACATTGCCTAGGGAGGTGGTGGAATCTCCATCACTGGATATTTTAAAGAGCAGGTTAGACAAACACCTATCAGGGATGGTCTAGATAATACTTAGTCCTGACATGAGTGCAGGGGACTGGACTAGATGACCTCTCGAGGTCCTTTCCAGTCCCATGATTCTATGACTTTGCTGAAAAGGAATGGGATTACTTGCACACTTAAATTAAGCCCATGTTTAAGTGCTTTGGCCATTCTTTTGATATTAGGGCTTGTTTATAGGGGGAAATTGATCAGAATACTTATAGTGCGATACCTCCCTATTTGACAATCTTATTCTGCAATAGCTGTAATGCTTTACATTCACACCCTACTTTATTCCTCATGCAGACAAGCCCTTGGCCAAAGCAAACTGAAGACACTGGAAAAATTCTCTCTGACTTCTGAGGGCTTTGGACTAGGCCATTAGGGCTTATGCTCCCTAGAGATGTTGCACTGACTTCATAATGGAGCTTATTTCCGCTGATAATCATTACTGGCTCAGAGATGTTTGCAGGATCAGGCCCTTAAAAGGCCAGCTTCCAAATTCAGTGAGAGCCTGAGCCAAAGCCTAGTGAAGTCAACAGAAAGACTGTAATTGGCTTCAGTGAGCTTTGTGTCAAGCCTTGAGTGCAGAAAGCATGTAAGAAAAGAGCCTGTGTTTTCTATGAGTTTAGGAAGCTGTAAACATCACTTTAGTGCAAGTTACAGCAGGGCAAAGCAAAGATGATTATTCTTTTTTACTAATTACGGCAGAGTTGAGACCAAAATCCAAGGTACTCAAGGGTTTTTTGATCCTTAAATAGGACGTGTACACACACAGATGCACACACACACAGAGAAATAAGTACAAAGAGAACTGATTTTTTGCAGCTCTGTTTATATCCTACAGAACTATTCACAAACAACAGCCAGAATAAAATCGTTTGCATTTCCCCAGACAAGTGCCAAAGATTTTTGTAACTTTGAATTCCTTTCTCTACTCTAAGTGTCTGTTTAAGTGTGGGGAGCTAGAGAGGAAGAGGAGAGAATACAATCTTTCATCACTTAATATTAGCAATAGGGCTAAGATGTGGTTTTGTTTGCAAGTGCTCCTTCCAGGGAAAGGCACTGACCAGTCAGAAAGAGCACAGTGCTCACTATTAATATTATGAATATTTTGCTGTTTATTATTATGACATATCACTTCTTTACAATTTCATACCAAAACAGCTATTTTAGAATTGCAGCGTGACTTATTTTATACTTCAAAATATTTCCCAAGAAAGCTACACACACAAATATGTGTTTGCTTATATATGTGCATTTAGCAATATTTTATTTTAGAAATGAGAAAATCTTTTACTTCTGTAGCAGTCTTTCTGGATAGAAGAAGATAAGCTCAGTATGAAATGAGACTAGCAGTAAAATCAAATACAGAAAACCATCTTACCCTTCCTCTTTGTTTCTGGAATTATCATTTCTGGAAGGGTCTTCTGTGAAAACATTTTTCTTATTCTTATTAAAATGAGTTTAGTTGCAAAATGGTTTTAATGCCAGTATACATACTTCAAGTTATTAAAGCAATGTGTACCTAAACATTAAAAAAACATTGCCTGAAATGTGATGGAATTAAAATGATAAGGAATGACATGAAATAATGAGATATAATTATATCAATTTTGTATACTGACATTACCTCAAATTTATCCAGGGGCTATTATATAATGCTGAAAGCTGATTTGATTTTTCATATTGTACCTATTTGGGCTCAGGAATAAATCACCCTAGGATGCATGGAAAGCTGTTTTTCACTTCCATTTACCTTAAATCCCCGGTGTGAAATCTGCCCGAGTTCAAAATGGATTTCCATTGTTTGTCTGCCAGTAGCTAGGAAATGCAAACCAAGGTGCAACAAGCATTGGCAGAAGGGGGAAAAATCCAAACAAATCTAGCTTGAAATATGCAGTTGGATTTGTGTGTAAAGCTGCCCGCAGTGACTCAATAGCTTGAGTACAAACCTCAGGGCAGACTGTCAGGAAGCAAGGCACAAACCCCCAATTGGCTGAGAGGTCTATACTTGGATTTCCCCAACCAAATATCAGGTGGTGTAAACTCCCCACTTACAAGAACAGCCTTATCACAGAGTTACAGACCATCCCCTTGGGTACTCCGATCGATTTTGCCATGCAGGTGAGCCTGCCTTTGTGCTAGATGGTTCCTTACACCAAAATTCACAACAATATTCAGGTTACTCCCAGTCCCAAAGGACCAGTCATTTACTCTAGGTCAATTGCACTTTAGATCTCACATCAAAGACAATGCTTGTAGCCAATCCAATAGTAAACCATATACAGATTTACTAACTAGGAAAAGGAAACTATAGAATTATTTACAAGGTTAAAGCAGGTGAACATACACATGCAAATGAGTTCTAATCTTAAGTTTTGAAAAGAAATAGAAGCTTCTATAAGAAACAAGATCTAGATGACCTTTAGGGCTAATGCAGGCTGAGCACTGTGGATCTCTTGGTCATGCCTAGCAAACTTTGCCTCTTAGAGTCCAAGCAGCACAGAGATACAGTTCTTTCTAATTAGGGGTTTTTATCTGCTTCCTTCCTTGAGCTCTGAGCGGTAAATTCAGCTGATGGGAGGAATCCATAAGCATGACTCATCTTCACAGATGGGGATGAAGGGTAAAACAACCATCTTTTGTCCTCTTTAATGTCTCTCAATAGTCTGTCTAATGTTTATGGTCCTTCCCTGAGGGACAGGACATAACACCTTCAGTTGGAGATCAGCACTTCACACTAGTTAATGTCTCTCTCCTATCTGGTGATTTACAGAGTCACAGAGGATCACAATAAAACCACTCAAACATTACTTTACAATAAGGGATACAGATGCTATGTGTGAGATTAATGCCGGCAGCCACTCACAAGCAGTCCATAAAGCCTAAAGACATTCTTATAATGCTAATACCTCTTTCAACAATACCAACACACAGGTGAGCCAGACTGCTTCCCGCTCTGTGTTTGTCAGTGGTCCACTGAAACATGGTGACTGTGGGACGCCTGGTCTGCCAGCGTCACAGTGTAGATATTAAATATCTGTGCAGTTCTGAAAAAGACAAAGCCGAGCTGATTATGTCTGCATTTGTCTTGACTTTTAGCCCAATTCAACTCAGTAATTAATACATGCCTAACTTTGGGCTTGATCCCCCACGGGGGCTGAGAACTCTGGTTACGATCCAGCAAAGCAGGTAAGCATGTGCGTAGTTCCATTGACTTCACTGGTACCACTCTTGTATTTAAGATTAAGCATATACTTAGGGGCTTTGCTGGCTCCAGGCCAGAGTGCTCCGCCCGGGGCAGGATCAAGCCTTTTAAGCCCATGACATTTTTTGTTCATAAAGTTAGGCACTTGCTCAAGTACCTTGCTGAACTGACACCTTGTTGGCTCAGATTAAGTGAAATATCAGCTTAATCCCTGATACGTCCTGGGCTGATATATTGGACCTTAGTGAGCTTAGTATTGCTTATTAATAAATCCATTGGAGGAGAAACACCAGGGAAGGAGAAGAACTATTTAAGCTAAAGAACAATATTGGCACAAGAGCAAATGGGGCCCAACCGGTCATGAATACATTGAGCTGGAAATGAGAAGAAAGGTTCTAACCATCAGAGGGGGAAGGTTCTTGAACAAGTCTCCCAGTAGGAGCAGTACTGGGCAACCAATCTAACTGGTTTTAAGGTGGATCTTGCTGGGTTGCATGTGATAGCAGGGAAATGGACTGGATGACCCACAGGGTACCGTTCCTGTCCTATGTCCCTATGTACGGTAGCACCTACAAGATCATCTGGGCCTCTTATTTCTCCCGGGAAGGGACTGCCTGGCACAGGTGTTCTCTAATATAGCTTCTATTTTATTTCTATTACACACCCACACAGGCTGTGAGCCTGCAAACAACGATATATGGGGGTAGATCTACTGAACAAAATGGGACTGTTATTATTTATTTGCATTTTGGTGGCATCTAGAGGGTATTGGTGCCCCATCGTGCTTGGGGCAGCCCATGCTCAAAACAAAAATATAGTCCCTGCCCCAAAGAGTTTAATATTTAAGGTCCCTATTCAGCAAGATTTCAGTGGGAGCACTTACAGTCAGGCCCATGCTTAAG